AAATTGAAAGAATATGGGCTTTTGCTTCGTAGCTAATTTAAGGCTGGGAGCTACTTGAATCCACTAAGTGGGTGATGGGACCCCATTTTACTCTTAAAATCAATTTGGATTTCAAATGAATTTTTTTCTTTGGCATGAAGCTAAAGTTCTGTTTATTGCTTCCATATTTTCCCATAATATGTACATGATTCGGATTTTCCTCAAGAGTAATGATTTGATATTAAGAACTCAATCCTGCTTTTTTTATGATGGATACGGATTAATATGTTCGCTTGTGTTATAAAATCATAAATTATTGACACAGTGAAAATATTATTTGAACTATATTTGATTCTAAGATTCATTTTGATTTTAGAAAATTTAATATGATACTTGGACCTAGACTAGACGTGTACATTTCCCAGTCCTCACGTGCCAATTCAATTATTAAATATATTTTTGGGAAATTCAATAACTAAATATTAAGAGCAACAAACATTTACATTCCCAATATACATATATATCCAACTGCTCTGAATCACTTGCACAATAATAGTAGTACAGAGACAATCAATATAAAAAAAGACTTTTGTTAGCTTCTAAGCACGTTTTCATGATAAGGGCTTATTAGATCTAATGATACCAGCCTACACTTAAACAAATAAAGTAATCATTTTTATAAATTATATTGTACAGTGAATAGTCAACTGAAATGAATTTAAAAAAAAAAAACAGGATTAGAAATTAATAATACTCTCTTCTCTTAAATAAAAATAAAACAAAAAATCCATGTTAGGGGGATTTTTTTTTAATTATAATCAAGATCTAGGGGAATTCCTTCTATTTTTCTTTTTATTTTTACACAATTTCGGAATAAGACTTGACATATATATAATCATCAAATTATTCTAGTTTTCTCACTTGTGATGGCCAATCAACCGAAAATGAGAGGAAAAAGACATCATATGCTTTGCCTAGTACATAGAAACCTTCAATTTGAAGGTAGATTCGCGTACATTTATTGAATTTCTACTGTTTGATCAATACACAACCGAGTGAATATGTATATGCATAAATTTGACAATAAAAAAAACTCGAGTTACTAATATGATTGAATTCTTCCAATTTGATTAACATGAGTAGTAAATATCACCCTAACTGTCCATTATACGTTTGAATCGTATACATACTCACTGTATTCTGTCATTTTGAACTCCAATATAGGCAGTTATGACCTTGGGACATGATATATATATATATATGTACTTTTCTATTATGCATATGATTTATAAACCTATATTTGGCGGCCATTTATGCATGAATAATATTCATAAAGCGAGGAATTTGTCTTGAAGGCCTTGGATCATTATACTCGATCTTAAGTCCTACCAAACCCAGTTAAATTTGACCAAATTTTACCCCTAAAAATTACTATGACGGTCGTTTAATTTACTGCATACTTTGTTGTACCAAAAAAATAATAAAATAAAATTACTGCATACGTTTTCAATTTGATAATTCAATAATCCACGATGACATAGACTAGACTTGGGGCGCTGCCCAAATGTTAGGTCAAGATTTGCAGTCTATTGTTTGGATTACAACTCTAATTAAACAATCTACTAGCCTATATATGCTTTTGGTACAAGTTAATTATCATCTTTAATATGACTCTCCAAACTGCAACAAACACTCCAATAGCAACAAGATAATAATCACACTTTTGTCATCTTAATCAGATCATAAGATGGTATATAAAAGTGAAGAATGATGTCAATTAAAAAATATAATAATTATTTGTTACATCACATACCTCCCATGCTTTGAAAAATATATTGAAATGTGCCTATTTTTGCATCAAATATCATGGAATAATTTATAAAATAATTTTTCAATTAATTAATACACATTAATGTCACATTATGCCCCCCCTTACCAGCACATCAATACAGGTGTAGCTCTCAACATAAAGGACAACCCATAACCCTTATTTATTACAGACCATGGCTCTTATCTGGACCACTTTCCAAACTGAATTCCATTAATCTAATGACTTTTCCACTTAAACACTGTAAAATTAAAAAAATAGGATACCAATAATCTCTCTTAATTATAAAACTGCCATTGTTTTTGTAAATCTATTGTAAATTACGACTTCATATGTTAGGTAAATATAAACCAAACGATACTTGAACACTTTAAGTACATTGTAAGACATATTTAAGGGTAGCATTTTAGATGATTATTTATAAAATAATTTTTAGCAATATTTGTGGTACTCTAACTTGTCCCGCTTTGATGTTTCATTTTAAGTTTCATACATGTATAAATATAAAACCATTATTTTGTGTTTTTTTTCTTTGGATGAATGACAATGTACAAATGTAACATCATTATGTACAGAAATTCTATGGCGCCCATATGGGCACCATATGGTACCATAATCTTCACGATCTAACGCCTAATATTCATTGTGGAATTGATAGAATGGATATTAGGCGTTGGATCGTGAGATTATGGCACCATATGGTGCCCATATGGGCGCCATAGAATTTCTGTCATTATGTATACATGTTATTCATCAAATTGAATAAAACACGAAATGAGATACTAAATTAAAATATAAAATCTCATCCCTACATAATGAAAATTCTTGATTAGTTATTAAAATTAACACTAAGACTGTTGTTAGACGTGCCTAATAGTTAGACAATCATAATTTTTTTAGATATGCAGACATCCAATAAAAACAATACTATAAAATATCATAAATAGAAGTATGACATTTTAAATAATAAATATATATTTTTATTAATGAGGTATAACGAGTTGCGGAAATGCTCACATGTTTCCGGTGGGCACATGTTAATGGTGATGTAATGTGTGCATGCCACATAAGTGGTGGACATCAGTGTTTTCAATACCGTATCGTACCGGCTGGTAATACCGGATACCGGCCATTGGTACGGTACAATTGTACACAGAATACCGGATTTACGGTTATACCGGTTTGTACCGGGGTCATACCGTAAATACCGAAAAAAACCGATCCAAAATACCGGTCATAAAAAAAAAAAAAAA